GTGATGCCATGGCACTCTACCCAGGGGATAGCTTGAGGCTCCGTCTCAAAAAAAAAAAAAAAAAAAAAAGACCGGTGATTTTCAAGTAAACATATAAATAAATATTATGTACCCCTGAATAATTTGCTTTTTTGGTGAAGAACAAAGAGCACAGTGATGAGATGGTGGCCAGGTGGAGGGAGTGTCCGGGTGGCAGCCCTTGCTGGGGGCAGTGCTGGAGCAGAGGCAGAGGTGTGATGTGAAAGAGCAGGAGAGGACCCGCGGTGAGGTCAGCAGGGGAGCAGGCTGGAAAGCCTAGTCGTAGGGAGGCAGGGTCAGGGTGGAGGGAGGCCAAGGAGAGCACAATTTTCATTCATCTATTTACTCTGCAAATTTCAGCGTCCCCTGTGTGCTTGGCAGTGGATACTAAGTGGTGAACAAAGTCCCCATCTACACCACCATCCTCATGGAACTGGTCCTTTTGGATCTTTCTGAAAGTGTGGGAAAGGAAAGGCAAAGTGGTCCAGACTGAGGCCAGAGGGACAGTCAGGGGCCAGCAGGGAAGCAATGTGGCGCAGCTGGGAACCCTGGGCTGTGGGCTCACAAGGATCACAGGTATGAGCCATTCTTTGAGTTCTTGGTCAGGGATTTTGTAGTTTTCGGTATACAGATCCTGCACATTTTGTTGACTTATACCTAAATATTTATTTTGCTTTTTGTTATTTTTAAAATTTAAATTGTTTTGGTTGGGAAAATTACACCAAGACACATCATAGTCAAATTGTTCAAAACCAGAGATAAAGAGAAACTCTGAAAAACATCAGGCCAGTCATGGTGGCTGACACTTGGGGAGGCAAACACAGGGGACTGCTTGAGGCCAGGAGCTGGAAACCAACCCGGACAACTTAGTGAGACCTCATCTCTACAATCAATTTAAAAGGACTGAAGTCATACAAAGTATATACTTCAACCACAGTGGTTAAGTTAAAAAGCAAAAACAGAAGGAAATATGAGAAATTCACATATATGAACAATTTCAACAAGACATTCCTAAATAGTAATGGGTCAAAAAAGCAATCAGAAGAGAAATTAGAAAATAACTGAAAGGAATGTAAATGAAAGTTCACCATCCCAAAATTCCAACCAAAGCCATGTTTATAGCTGTAAGTGCCCGTATTAAATAAAGACCTCAAATCAATAATGTGACTTTACACATTCAGAATCTAGACATAACAGCAAACCAAATCCAAGGCAAACAGAAGGGAAGAATAACAAAGAGTAGAGCAAAAATACATGAAATAGAAACTAGAAAATCAATGAAAGCAAAAGTTGGCTCTTTAAAGAGGTCATAAAAATAGATAAATTAAAAACATTTAGCTGGACTTAGCAAGAAACAAAGAGCCAGGTACAGTGGTTCAGACCTATAATCCTAGCTACTGAGGAGGCTGAGGTGGGAGGGTAGCTTCAGACCAAGAAGTCGAGAGTAGCTTGGGCTATATCATGAAACCCCATCTCTAAAAATAAAAATAAAAATAAATTAGCTGGGAATGTGGTATGCACTTGTAGTCCCAGTTACTCAGAAGGATGAAGCAGGTGGATTGCTTGAGCCCGGAAGTAGGTGGCTGCAGTGAGCTGTGATCATGCCACTGCACTTTAGCCTGAGCAACACAGCAAGACTCCATGTCAAAAACAAAAACTGAAAAACAAGGAGCATTCTCAAATTACTAAAATTAGGAATTATAAATGTAAGAGGAAACAACACTACCTACCTTATGGAAACAAAAAAAGACCAGAAGAGAATATTATGAGCAATTGTATGCCAAAAATCATACAACTTAGATGAAAAAAAAAATTGAATCAATAATTTTAAAACTTCTCTAAAGGAAATGTTCAAAAAAGAGAGCTTCACCGTGAATTCTACCAAATATTCAAAGAAGAAATAATAGCGGTCCTTCACAAGCTCTCCCAAAAACATTCAAAAAGAAGCTAATATTTCTCAGCTTATCCTATGAAGCCAATTTACTCTGACACCAAACCGGACAAAAGATATCACAACAACAACAACAACAAAAAGACCATTATCTCTTAAAAATATAGATGGAAAAATATAGACGGAAAAATTGCTACAAGTACTAGCAAACCAAATCTAGCAATAAATGAAAAGAATTATACGTCACGACCAAGTGGGGTTTATTGCAGGAATGCAAGTTTGGTTTAACATTCAAAAATCAGTCAATGTAATACTGCAAGCAACAAGGCATGGGGCTGTGCACCTATAATCCCAGCTACTTAGGAGGCTGAGCTGGGAAGATATCTCAAGTCCAGGGGTTCAAGACCAGCCTGGGTAACATAGTGAGACCCCCCATCTCAAAAAAGAAAAAAAATACAGCAAGCATTTGGCAAAATCTAACAATCTTCAGTGATAAAATATCAAAAAACTAGGAATAAAGCAAAACATCTTCAACTTGATAAAGGGCATCTATGCAAAAGCTACAACTAAGATCATAATTAATAGTGAAAGATTAAATGCTTTACTCCTAAGATCAAGAACAACACAAGAATGCTTACTTTCATCACTCATGTTCAACTGGAGTGTACTGGAAATTCTAGTTGGGTAATTAGGCAAGAAAAAATGTATCCCAGAGAGAAAAGAAGTAAAACTATTTCTATTCACAGATAAAGTGATTTTTTATATAGAAAATCCACTAAAAAATTAGAATTAATAAACATGTAAAGCAAGGTTGCAGGATATAAGAACTATTATATGAAAATCTATTATATTTCTACACATTAGCAATGAATAGTCTAAAAATGCAATTAACAAAATAATTTCATTTATAATAACAGAAAATAATAAAGTAAATTAGGAATAAGTTTAACAAAGCATATGCAATCTGTGCACAGTGACAACCCTAAGACATCACTTAAAGAAATTAAGGAAGATCTAAATCAATAGAAAGACATCCCATGTTCACAGATGGGAAGACTTAATATTTTAAAACATTACTCCCCCAAATTGGTCTATGGACTCAACATAATCCCAATCAGGATGGGATTCTTTGTAGAAATCCCAATCAGTTGGGTTCCTTATAGAAGAAATTGAGAAGCTTATTCTGAAATTCATATTTATATTTAAGAAATCCCGACAAGGCTCGGGCTCAACCGACTAAAGCGCCAGCCATGTACACCTAAGGTGGCGGGTTCGAATCCCCAGCCCGGACCGCCAAACAACAATGACAGCTGCAACCAAAAAATAGCCGGGCGCTGTGGCAGGTGCCTGTGGTCCCAGCTACTTGGAAGGCGGAGGCAAGAGACTCGCTTGAGCCCAGGAGTTGGAGGTTGCTGTGAGCTGTAATGCCACAGCACTCTACCCAGGGGGACAGCTTGAGGCTCTGTCTCAAAAAAAAAAAAAAAAGAAATCCAGACAAAACAATCTGAAAATAACAAATTTGAAGGACCCAGACATTCTGATTTAAAAACTTACCACACAGCTATAGCAATCAAGGCAGTGTGGTACTGGCATAAGGACAGATATAGAGATTTATGGAATAGAATTGAGAGTTCAAAAATAAACCTTTGTATTTATGAGCAAGTAATTTGACAAGTTTGCCATAAGGAAAGAATAGTCTTTAAACAAACAGTGCTGGGACAGCTGGATATCCACATGCAAAAGAATGAAATTAGATGTCTATCTTGGAGTATAAATAGTACATAGGTGCAACTGTTAAAATAGATAAAGATTTAAATGTAAGAGCTAAAACTAAACAACTTTTAGAAAAGTAAACATAGGGGTAAGTCTTTGTGACTTTGGAATAGGGAACAATTTCTTAGACCTAACACCAAAAGCACAGGCCACTATACAGAGAGTGCCAAAAATACATATACATTTTAAGAAAGAAAAAAACTGCATCAAAATTGTAATATTCAATATATGCCAATAACATTTGTTGTCTTTATATTGTACCTTTGTATCTCTTGTAATTTCAAATGTTAAACGCGACTTGAGTATTACAATTGTTAAAACAGGAAAATGATTTTAATAGACATTTTTGTGAAGATATACAAATGGCCAATGAACTCACGTGAAAAGGAGCTCGGTATCACCAATCATTAGAGAAATCCAAATCTATTTTACAACACTAGTTAAGACTGATATTTTACAAAAAGACAAAATGAAACACCAAGCAAATGATCGAACATAAAATAACTGCTGATAAAATAAAATAAAATAAAATGCTGATGAAAATGATTGAAACCCATGTATACTACTGGTCAGAATGTAAAAGGGTGTAGTTGCTATGGAAACGGTATAGTGGCAACTCAAAAATTAAAAATAAAATTAACATATAATCCACAATTCCACTTCTGGCCATAAACCTAGAACTGACCCAAACAGATAA